TGAGGGCTTTTGTTGAGGAGAGGGGAGGCCGTGGAACTTGGCTCGTTCGAGAAAATTGAGTTTTCTGGCAAGGTGACCCAGGTGCAAAGATGTGGTTTTTGATGGGGAAGTTAAACTGAATGGGCGAATCCTGAAAATTTTTCAAAGATGAGTTAAAAAAAAAAATAAATGAATTGTCTACATAGCCTAAGAAGGGAAGATTTTTTATTTTTGACAAACGGTTGACGGTATTGTGTTTGCAAGTGCGAGGAGAGGGAAAAGGAACGAGACCTGTGACAGGAGTGAATGATGGGACGAATCTGAGCAGCTGCTAGCATGTTAACTCTGCAAAAGGTAGTCCTCTGTCTCTAGATATAAAATATATGATGGGTGGCCAAATGTCCTGAGCTATATGCTAAAATGTAAACGATGTTGCCGACTCATGCTACCGAATTACAGTGCTCTCGCTTATCAAGAGCCGGTGACCCTGACATTATCTCTTGAAAGGCTAAAATCTCAACCTTAAACCTGCACTTCAAAAGAGTATAACAAATACAGATAAGTGCTTAGCTAATATCTTGGTGATATCAAATAAATTACCAAACACTTTAAGAAGCAAAAGGACACGATATATTCCAGATATCAATACAGGATCAAAGCACCACGATAATGCAGCGTTTTTCCTTAATGTACTAAGTACAGCAACTCATTTTCATGAACAAGTAACTATGACTTGGACAAGAAAAATGAGGACACGAGCCCTTAATTTTTATTTATTTATTTATTTATTTTTTAATAATATAATTTTATACTTCTGAAGATGTCCTCCTTACAAATTATCCATCATCTATACATCAACTTCACCAATTTCGTAGATGTGATGTCATTTTCCAGGAATCATAAGTGATCAATCATGGCGAAATTTATCGGCAACAGAGACTTGGCCTCTGAGCACACATTCACTACAGAAAATTTTTCAAGAGATAAATTGGATGAACAAATCCAATCCGAGACCATAGCTCAATGTACCTGACGAGTGACGAGTTGAGACTGAGGATTGAGCGAGTGCCGATTTCGTCTACAGCTTGAGCGCGCCTTCTCGGTGGAGCGGTGGCCGGAGGTCTATGAGCGGTGATGATGAGGCGGACGCGCCATTAGCGGTGGCCGGTGAGAGCTTGAGTGGTCGCCGTAGGTGAGAGAGTTTTAGGGTCTCCTTTTCATTCCCCGTCGATTGAGGAAACGTCTGAATTTCAGTTAACAGCAATTGAATAAATAATAATATTAAATAGTCATTTACTTTCTCAATTTCCCCCAATTTTCCTCGCACAACCTTTCAGTCGTAAACTCGTACCTTCGCTTCTCGCTATCTTATTTCCCCAGATTCTTGTTATTTATTTATTTTTGTTTGTTCATTCATCGCGGCTCGATTGTTAATGGCGAGAGGTCAGGCAAAGCGGCTTTTTTTTCCCTATATTCCTGCAAAAATAGCTTGGGTAGGAACCTTATTCCTAGTCGCAAGTTCCATCTCCGCGCGGTAGAATCCTCACTATGCCCAAATTCCTCGCAAGTCTCAGCACAACCGTGGCCGCCGGTACCCATCTTCATCCAGTTCATGAATTTCGGCGTATTGCCAGTTTCTCACCGACATTGGTTCTGCACCCTGTCGGAAAATGAAAAGCTGGTCCTAGATTCAGAAGAAAGTATTCAGCCAGAAGAGGAATATGGCAAATTTGGCGAGGATGGATGAATACCCGGGTCCGAAACTCAAATTGGTGGGCAGGAAGATGATTTTTCCAATAGGGATCCGGTACAGATATATAACACCCTACACTGCCAAAAGAAAACTGGTGTAAATTCGGATTCTTTGAATGAGATTTTGAGCTTTTTTTCAAAGTCCAGTTGGGCTACAAACCAGGCCCTTGCCATTTATATCAGTGGCTCATTTTTTCCGTTAGCAGCCCGTAAATTTGGCGGCTCTTTCATGAAGAGGTCCAGCGACGATCTGGTTAAGTACTTGGTGTCCCTGGGTCCCGGAGACAAGTCCGACAGGTTTCTGTTCCCGATTTTCGTAGAATTTTGCCTGGAGGAATTTCCGGATAAGATCAGAAGGTTCCGAAAAATGGTGGACTCAGCCGACATGACTCAGCCCCACACTTGGTTCCCTTTCGCCAGGGCCATGAAACGTAAGATCATCTATCACTGTGGCCCCACCAACAGTGGGAAGACGTACAATGCGCTGCAGAGATTTATGGAGGCTAAGAAAGGCGTTTACTGCAGCCCCCTTAGGTTGTTAGCCATGGAGTTTACTGTAGCCTTCTCACCGGCCAGGAGAAGAAGGACTTCCCGTTCTCGAACCATGTTGCTTGCACAGTTGAGATGGTCTCGACTGATGAATTGTATGATGTTGCAGTTATTGATGAAATCCAGATGATGGCTGATTCTTGCCGGGGCTATGCGTGGACGCGGGCCTTACTCAGGCTTAAAGCCGATGAGATCCATCTGTGTGGGGACCCAAGTGTTCTGAATGTGGTGAGGCGAATTTGTTCGGAGACTGGGGATGAACTTGTGGAACAGCACTATGAAAGATTCAAACCTCTGGTGGTTGAGGCAAAAACCCTGTTGGGGGACTTGAATAATGTGAATCGGGAGATTGTATTGTTGCTTTCTCGAGGAGGGAAATATTTGAGGTTAAATTGGCGATCGAGAAATACACAAACCACCGTTGTTGTGTCATATATGGGGCCCTGCCACCAGAGACCCGTCCGCAGCAAGCTTCCCTTTTTAACAATCAGGGTAATGAGTTTGATGTATTGGTTGCGAGCGATGCTGTGGGTATGGGTTTGAATTTGAACATCCGTAGGATCGTATTCTATAGCCTGTCAAAGTATAATGGTGATAAAATGGTGTGCGTGCCGGCTTCTCAAGTCAAACAGATAGCCGGAAGGGCAGGTCGTAGGGGGAGCTGATATCCAGACAGGTTAGCCACAACCTTGCAACTGGACGATTTAGGGTATTTAATCGAGCGCCTGTAAAAGCCCTTTGAAGATGTCAAGAAAGTGGGGCTCTTCCCATTTTATGAGCAGGTTGAGCTATTCGCAGGCCAGCTCCCGGATATGAAATTCTCCAAGCTTCTTGAGAATTTCTCTGAGAATTGCCGGCTAGATGGGTCCTACTTCCTCTGCCAGCACATGCACATAAGGAAAATAGCTAATATGTTGGATAAAATTCAAGGGTTGTCTTTAGAAGACCGTTTTAACTTTTGCCTTGCACCGGTCAATATTCGGGACCCCAAAGCAATGTACCATCTCCTGAGGTTCGCGTCCTCGTATGCTCAAAAGCTTCCCGTAAATATAGCCATGGGCATGCCCAAGTGTGCGGCCCGCAATGATTCGGAGCTTCTGGATCTCGAGACCAGGCACCAGGTGCTTGCTATGTACTTGTGGCTGTCTAATCACTTTGAGGAGGAAAGGTTTCCTTTTGTCCACAAGGCCGAGACCATGGGTACTGATATTGCGGGGCTACTGGCTGAGTCGCTTTTGAGGGCAAATTGGAAGCCAGAATCAAGAGGTGGACTGAAACCCAAGACGGAAAAGAAAGAGGAAAATGGTTATCACAGACCTATGGCACAAATTAAATTACTGGAAAAGTGCGCCGTCTGAATCGTTTATGGTAATTTTGCTACCGGCATTATTAATTTTGATAATTGTTTTTACTTTTCCTTTCTCCGTTGTATGCTAAGATCCCAAGGTTGTTTTAGTGGAGCTGCTGTTTTCTGCTATCTAGTTGTCCTGACCATAATATAATATACTGCTCACTCTATCATGCTGGGTTACATGTTCTGTCAAATCATTACCTAAGCCTCAGCTTGATGGCTTTAAATGCAGTATAAAGGGACAAAATAATTTGATCACACAACCTTGATAAACATTCCAAGCTCCGATGAAAACAATATTATTGGTTAATATTCTTAAAATGTTCATTACTTTATTTTATGACAAAAAATTAGATAATCAAGCTGACTTAAAATTCTTACGGAACATTTTCACCTCTAACCAGTGGTTATCCAACTTTGATGTAGAACTGGCTTGAATAACTAAGGCATGATATATTGATTGTGATCTTGAGTTGCAGAGCTTATATAACATGGTCTACAGTTTAGAAACCTTGTTAAAATGGGAGTGTGTGCAGTTGAATTCTGGCATCGTCTTGAGTTTGAGATGAGGATACTTACGGTTATTGATATCTTGCGTGACTGCCAAGTTGCCTTGGGCTCTCTTGAATGGTGGGTTATTCTTGGAGTGGCGAATCATTTATTTTAATGCGCTTGAAATAGAGCGAGCGTGTCGTTGTGTTCAGATCAGAATTTGCAGAATGCAGAGATTGAAAAATTAAGAGAAAGCAGAAGCCAAAATGTTTGATGGGATGTTGAAAAGCAAGTTCTATTGCAAATGGTGAGTTGAAGTTTTGATGGTGAATTTGACCATTCGAAAGTTTTTAATCTTCTTTTGTTCCTATTCGTGCTGCTTTTACATTTTCTTGGGTTAATGTTGTGTTTCTTTTTTTTTTCTTTTTTTTTTGTGAATATTGGGATAGCAAATCAGATGTTAAGCTGACGAGGGCACGAGCTGATTTGGTTAAGAAGAAGAGAAATGCAATGCAAAAGTATCTAAAGAATGATATTGCAGATCTTCTTAAAAATGGACTGGATATTAACGCCTATGGCAGGGTAATTTTTCTAATTCTGTTTCCTTTTATTTTTATTTTTTGGTTGTAAAATCTCATAGTGTTTATAAAATCTGTGTGGCTGATAAAATTTCTCTTGCTTGAAAAATTAGGTACTTTAGCTTCTCTTTTATGGTGATGTGTCCATTGATCAACCTTTTTTGTTTTGTCTGGTACTTTTCTTGGTTGAACACTGAATCCTCCAATATAATTTTTAATGGCGTTTTACCCCTGAACTATTGAACTTTCCACTTTGAACCGTTGAGGCTCAAGTCACGAATGTGCTGTTTTAGTCTATTTTCTCAGGATTTCAGCTATTACCCAAAAAGCTCATAGTTCTCTAATGGGAAAACGAAAATATTTAGTTTAGCTAAACTTCAAGAGTAGTTTTAGTTGCTACCTCTTTCGTTTGATCCTCTTAGGCAGACCATAATTCATTATTTCTTAGATTCCGATGGCCTAATTGATTTATTTAAAGAGTTATAGTTTCCAATGTTAAAACAGGCTGAAGGACTTCTGGTTGAGATGAATTGGACGACCTGTTACGAGTTTGTCGACCAATGTTGTGAACATATATCAAAGAATGTTTCGACAATGGACAAACAGCAGTACGTAAGCCTTAATAGCTAATTCAATTGAGCTAGTAGAATTGGTGTCTTTATTCTTTAATTACATATTTTCTCGTACTTATGCTTTTTTTTTTCTGCAAGAAAACACCTATTTTAAACACATGTTCGCATGAGACACATTTTGTAGTTGACCCCATACACAAGAACACTGATTATTGGCCACATGGTAGGTTTGCTTTGTATTTAGGTCATGTTAGTTCAAGCATGATGTTGATCAGCTGAAATACAATTGTCGGCTTGTATTTAAGGTCATGTTAGTTAAATTAAAACATGATGTTGGTTTTTTTTTTCCTAGTCGAAAAATAGATTCACTTGAATTTGGTATGATCAGGGAATGCCCTGAAGAATGCAGAGAAGCGGTGTCGTCTCTGATGTTTGCAGCTGCATGATTTGCTGACATGTCCGAACTGCGTGAGCTTAGAACTCTATTTTCAGAGAGATGTGGGAATTCCCTTGATTGTTTTATCAATAAAGAGGTAATTGCTCACTCCTTTTTATTTAAAGGAGCAAAAATAAATAAATAAAAACAAAGAAAATGTCTGTCTCTGTATTTTTTTTTCCCTCACCGTTCAATCTTAGTGAACTGAGATTCTTATGTGTATTTTATACAGTTTTCTGAGAAAGATGAGGTCATGTCTGCCCTCAAAAGAATCAAAACTTGAGCTGTTGCAAGAAATAGCTGCTACGTCTGATTTGGATTGGCACTCGAAAGCTCTGGAAAGTAAGCACTTTAATGAATCTGCATATAAAAAGTTACAGTAAACTATAGTATTCCCCGTTTTAATGTCTCAGAAGTATTTGTTAGCCAACGTTAGTAATTACGTCTCAGTTGCTGTTTGGCATGAAGAAGAGTAAAAATTTCATTCCCATGTATAGAAGTCCTATGTGTGAAAGGACTTGTAGAAGAAATTCCGAGGATTTTTTGACCATGTGGCATTAGAGTGGAGCAATAGATGCACCCACTCAAGATGCTCTTAGTTTATCTATGTTCACATTTTGGTTTCTTCTTTTTGGCCACATTACAAAAAACATTGAGACACACTTTTTTGCAGAGGAAATTCAACGATAAAGTTTGGAGAAATGAAGACAGGCTGCCCAAGAAAAAAGAAACCCCCGAGCTTCGGAAAAGGCACGATCCATTCAAGTTGACACCATTGCCAGAACCGAAAAAACCAAAGATGAGGAGCTTGTGAAGAAGAAGGTTCGAGCGCACGAAACTGATGAAAAGCTCCTTGAGCAAAAAAAAAAAAATGAATCCCTGCTCCCCCTTACACCAAACCCGAACAGAACAAACCGAACCACTATCAAGACAATCTCAATCGCTCGTTCCAAAATCAGTTTGGAGGCGTTTTATGAAGCCCGAGATGAAGGAGGAGGACAACATTCAACGATTATACAGAGAGAAAGCCGAACAAGGGCAGACGGGAAAGCAGAAGGATGAAGAAGAGAAGATGATGGGCAGGCTTTTACGGCACTATAACAAGAAAAACGGATCATCCTCAGTAGCAGCAGACGAGAAGGGCAAATCAGTAAAACCGCACAGTACAAACAGGGTGGATTCTAAGAAACACAGCCGGACTTTCTCGTTGGATAACAATAATGCACCGGACTATGACGACTTTGTGGCTAGGCTTGCTGAACTGAGAAAGAACAGAGGAAATTGATCGGTGCTCGTGTGTAAAGGGAAATTCGAATTCATAGTTGATATTATGTAGTTGATTGGTGCTTGTGTGTGAAGGGATTTTTCAACGTGGATTTTTCAACACAGGTGGAAATAAAAATTCCAACGGAAATTAAATATTACAACGGAAATTTTACGGTAAAGACCTGTTAGAAATATAGCCATTGGAATTATCAAATTCTATCTTTTCCATTGAAAAACATATTCCAACGGAATATTTCTGTTGGAATTTTTATTGGAACCATTCCAACAAAAGTTATACTATTGGAATATCCGTTGGAATTTTCATTGGAATATATTAATATAGAATTTTTCGTTGGAATATAATAATTTTTTTGTAGTGTGATATCTATTTACTTAAACAAAAAATAAAATTTATTATTTATTATTGAATAAAAATATGTATCAAACTATTTTATGATATGAATTAGGAAAATTATTATAATATAAGATAAATTGAGTAAAATAATAATTTTAAATTATAACTTCTACAGTTTTTTTTTTGTTTATCTCAAGTTTGAAATTTATAAGGGTGTTACTATTTACCGCCTCCATTTTACTAATCATCGCCCCCTCAATTACGTTTTTGCCCTTCACACTATCTCTCTACTTTTTCCCCTGGACTTTTTACGGCTCTTTTGACCGTAAAAAAAATGTCGAAAAAATCCGAAAAAAATACCATGACATTGGCAAGACATTAAAGATTGACTATGTATTTTTTTTATATTTTTTTACTTTGGGCGGCTGGGCTCGATGACCAATACATGGCCCGTCAGAATGGATAATTATTTGTAGCCCAACGTCCATTCCGAACATTATTTACTAAGATCAACTCCAACCCTGCGCTATGCGCTGGAGTTGTGTTGATTTTTCTGCTCCAGCCCTTGCGCTAGATGTTGCGCTATTCCACAGATGTGAACAGTGCATCGTAGCTCATCTTTATATTTT